ATATATATATATATATAAATATATATATATATATATATATATGTTATATATATATATATAAATATATATATATAAAATATATATATATATATATATATATATTATATATATATAATATATATATATATATATATATATATATATTTATATATGATATATATGTACAAACTATCTGACATCTGAGCTGACACTCATTTCTGCTTAATTTGAAATGACAGTTGGATCAGCCGGTACAAAGGTCCCTACAATATCAGCCATAAACTTCTCATACAACAACAACAGTGCCGGAAGGAGATGCCAGTTTGCAAACACCACCCCATATGCTCACCAGTGAAGCAAGGTTACGAAATATTGGTACCGGAGCGCTGACATCACCCCCCCCCCCCCACCCAAAACAAACAAGACACAGAAAGTTCTGAAGGTGATCTTGCAAAACTGTGTTGTTGACATCGTCAGCAACACTGAAAATCGGCTCTTAACTAAACTAACTCACTGCTCAAGACACAAGACTCTTAGATTCCTAAATATCATGGGTGATCACTATCACCTTTAATAACAATTCCAGTAGTAGACTGCAGACATCGCACTGGTGACAGCTTTCTTGATTACTTCGTTACACTTCCATGATAGGTCTACCATCCCTTCCAGCACGTCAAGTATATTCATACACCATTAACGTTGTATACTCTACGTAAGTCAGCACCCCTGGTAAGACCCTCTCCTCCCATACCACCTTCCTGGTACCCCAGGAAAGTGGTATGGGAGGCTGGTACTCACCACAACTAGGTGAGTACCAGCCTATAAACGAGGCTTGATGAGACATGGACAGCCATGTCTTAGGTACCTAGTCTAGGTTACCACACCCTTGTTCAACCCCTCACCTAGCAGATTAGGTGCTGATCCACTACACTGCTTAGTATAATAATAATCCTTATTTCTACAAGTACATGATACAACTTATACATACCATAGTTGACATCAGTGACATATATAGAAAACCCCTGGTGTATTTCGGGCAAATTAGGTTAATTTTATTCTCAGTATATGACCCAGGTACCTATTTACTGTTAGGTGAACATGGACAGCAGGTGTCTTAAAGAAACACGTCCTAATGTTTCCACCTGTACCGGGGATCGAACCACGGACCTCAGTGTGTGTGAGCTAAGTGCGCTACCAACCGAGCTACGGGACACAGATATAAACACTAGCCGCAACTTGATATCACAGCAGATATAGGTAAAAAAAAAACCGCCAGTCATAACTACATTATAGAGTGAGAGATATGGGAGGAAGGGTGAAATATTCCCGTTGGAAAACAGGGGCACCGTGGGCACGATAAGTACAGTGACATGAGTAACATAATGACATGAGTAATACAGTAACATGATTAATACAGTAAGATGATTAATACTCACAATGGGAGAATTTGAGAGGATTTCTAAATGTGAACTGATATCAGCTGTCGGACGTGAGAAAGTGACATTCAGTTGGTTGATAGCGTATCACACACACACACACACACACACACACACACACACACACACACACACACACACACACACACACACACACACACACATGCCCAGGAGTTTGTTTCAGTACCTCAAGTACTAATCGAACTCAGCCCTTGTCACACAGGACACTTACTACAGGAAACACTTCGCCACGAGTGACTTCTTCAGTCGCAATACAGAGATAATAGGTAGAGATGTGTTGGCCAGGACGTCCTGGCGAACGTGTGGTGATCCTACCATCAGAGATAACTAAGAAATTACTTAATACAGTAACGGGAGTCAGTTGGAAAGTTGCGAGGGTAGCAGTATTATAGTAATGGTAAAAATAGCAGCCTGGAGTCTACCTGGAGGATATTCCGGGGATCAACGCCCCGAGGCCCGGTCCATGACCAAGTTTCCCTCTGGCTCAGGTCCTGATAAACCAGGCTGCTACTACTGGCCACACTTAATCCAACCTACGAACCACAGCTAGGCTGATCGGGTACCGACTTTAGGCATCTGTCCAACTCCTTCTTGAAGGCAACCAGGGATCTATTGGCAATTCCTCTTATGCCTGGTGGGAGGCTGTTGAACAGTCTTGGGCCCCTGACACTTATTGTGTTTTCTCTTAGTATACTAATGGCGACCCCTACTTATAGTTGGGGTATTTTGCACTGTCTGCCCAGTCTTTTGCTTTCACAGAGAGTAATTTCTGTGTGCAGATTAAGTGGCAGAAGCAGTAGTACAATTGTGGTGAGATTGGTTGGGTTTGAGAAGGATCTGTCAGCATCTCCAGAATGGGTAATATCCTGTTAATGGGCAGTTTTTATATTGTATAACTTCCGGCGGATTTTTGAGGGATAGTTTTATTGAAAGCAATTAGGACAGTCTATATACACTTTCGCCATCTTAAATCCTCTTCCTTAATGACTAATCTAGCTTCACTGAATTTCATGAAGTGTCCAGCATCGCCCCTGTGTTGAACACAGGCGTTTCTATTATCATCACATTTGCAAATATGTTTTATGTTCCCTGATCTTAATATCCAGAGATCTGGCTGTTCCTCCCACATATACTTCGTCACAACCCCCACACGGTATAGTGTATACTCCTGCGTCCATGCCAGTCATTCTTGGGTTTTGGCACTGGGCTTCTAATAGTAGTTAAAGAGTTGGAGAGAGGGAGAATACCTGAAGCGGTATTCGGGGGTCAACGCCCCCTCGACCCCCGCTGGTAGATATTTTAACAAGTTTTCTGTCAAGTATTTAGAAACGTTAGTTGCACGCCGGGTCACCATTTGGAAAAGACCCGGGCCGGGACAAGCTGCTACAGTTGCAACGTTGCTGACTGGTAAAACAATATAACTGGGAAGACTGTCTTCAACTGGACAGGTGTTGGTCCTGTTGAAGTGTAGGAGGATCCCGTAGCAAGGTCACTAGCACACTCAGATCACATACTGTGGTCTGGGGGTCGATCCCCGGTAAGGCTGGAAAACATTAGAACGTGTTTCCTTAAGACACCTAATGTCAATGTTTACCTATCAGTAAAATAGGTACCTGGATGTTAGGTGACTGGTGGTGGGGCGCATCCTGGGACAAAACTGACCTATGCTGCCCGAAATGCTCTGCATTATACATAGTAGTATGTTACTGGAGAGAGAGTTCCGGGGGTCAACGCCCCCGCGGCCCGGTCTGTGACCAGGCCTCCTGGTGGATCAGAGCCTGATCAACCAGGCTGTTGCTGCTGGCTGCACGCAAACCAACGTACGAGCCACAGCCCGGCTGATCCGGATCACTGATGTCAGTTAGGCTTGTATATTATTTATTATTATTGTTATTATTATTATTATCACACCGGCCGATTCCCACCAAGGCAGGGTGGCCCGAAAAAGAAAAACTTTCACCATCATTCACTCCATCACTGTCTTGCCAGAAGGGTGCTTTACACTACAGTTTTTAAACTGCAACATTAACACCCCACCCATCTGCTGACACGTCCACTCCCAAATATCTGAATACATTCACCTCCTCCATACTCTCTCCCTCCAATCTGATATACAATCTTTCATCACCTAATCTTTTTGTTATCCTCATAACCTTACTCTTTCCTGTATTCACTTTTAATTTTCTTCTTTTGCATACACTACCAAATTCATCCACCAACCTCTGCAACTTCTCTTCAGAAACTCCCAAGAGCACAGTGTCATCAGCAAAGAGCAACTGTGACAACTCCCACTTTATGTGTGATTCTTTATCTTTTAACTCCACGCCTCTTGCCAAGACCCTCGCATTTACCTCTCTTACAACCCCATCTATAAATATATTATTATTATTATTATTATTATTATTATTATTATTATTATTATTATTATTAAAAGTGTAGTTAACTGAATGAATGAATGCATTGTTCCTCGCGGACCTGCGAACTGGAAATTCTGTAGGCTCACTGAAAGAGGCCTATAATTAAAGTTTTGGTGATATTAGCAAGGTTAAGATATATATTACTTAAAAGAAAACTTTATAAAACCAAAGTGTTTTGAACTTTCTGTGAACCAGAAGTGGATCTTGAAGCTGAGATATAAGATTATTTCAGAACTTAAGTTTTCTTAGTTAATTTGGGTCAAATGGATTTGCTAACAATTATTATGTAAATGGTTTCGAAAACCGTCAAGTTAATAACTGAGACACTTGTGGCTTCTTCAGTCCAATACAGAGTAGAACAGTGGAGGATGAGGAAGAGTCTGAAGCAGTCAGTCCCTCAACCGGAGTCGATATGTTCAGTCCAACGATCTGGATCTTATCGATCTTGATAAAAGTGCAACATAGTTTCGTGGATATGTCTTATATACCAGTTGAGGCAGGTCATGCGGGTAGGTCAGGTCAGTGCTGAAAAATTCCCTGTATCAGAAACACTAGATGATGTGTCAGGCAGGTGAGACGAAACACCTGTCAGACCTGTGTCTGACAGGTGTTGTTATATCAGTGGTTTGGAAAAACAGACGAGTTGATTATTGCAACTTATGCAACACTGTGATCACGTTTCCAGAATAAATATTCCCAAGTATATATTGTTTTGGCTGACGATTTGGTAGAGTTCCTGTATCCACCACTAACGACCATTGTTGTTGATACTGTATTATATACACTGGTCGTAGCATCATAACAATGGTCAAAATGAGGAACGAGCAAAAGTTAGCAGTGAGTAAGCATTAATATATATTTCCTTCACTAAACAGCATGCAAACATATGTACAATTTGTACACAGCAAGTTTTGCGAGAGACACAGTGAGAACTGTGGGCGACCGGACTTGAGGTAAATCTGGCAGTGTTGATCCATGAGTCCCAGACATTGGACATATGTCCCAGACATTGCCAAAATCTGGGACATAAGTCCCAGACTTTGGCAGGCTTCTTTGTTATTGGCTGAGTTGAACTAAGGTGCGAGCATAACAAGAGGGCCCCCGCTTGTTATACTTTTGGCAGCTGGTTGGCTGGTCGGGAGGCCAGGCCTATGTGAGTGTGTAGCATACACCCAACAAAATATAACCTAGTCTTAGCATGCCACACAATATAATACAGCTGTATTTTTCAATATGGATTTTTTTTCACACAGTTAATGGACAGCACCTGCCACCCCTGCCTCCTCTGCCACCCCTGCCTCCTCTGCCATCCTCTGCCATCCTCTGCCATCTACAAGTCACCTCTGTTGCTCCTGTTATCACACCTGCCTAACATAGGCCAGTATAGGCCTGCTGCCGTGCCCTTCTGTTTCCGTGTGTGAAAACTGAAGGCCTAATAGATCTGTTACCTAATTCTCCTTATTTTCCTTATTTATCTTATCTTATTTCTCTTCAGTGAACGTAGAAAGATTTGGAAGTCAAAATAAATCATTAATAAATTAGACTAGAACGCAGACAACAAGAAAATTAAAGAAAATACTTTTTCAATTGAGAGAATTTGATGACTTCTCGTAGAGCTCCAGGAAGACCCCAGTAGAGCTCCAGAAAGACCCCCCTGTAGAGCTCCAGGAAGACCCCCTGTAGAGCTCCAGGAAGACCCCAGTAGAGCTCCAGGAAGACCCCCCTGCAAAGCTCCAGGAAGACCCCCTGTAGAGCTCCAGGAAGACCCCCTGTAGAGCTCCAGGAAGACCCCCCTGTAGGAGCTCCAGGAAGACCCCCTGTAGAGCTCCAGGAAGACCCCTGTAGAGCTCCAGGAAGACCCCCCCTGTAAGCTTCAGGAAGACCCCCCCTGTAGAGCTCCAGGAAGACCCCCCTGTAGAGCTCCAGGAAGACCCCCCTGTAGAGCTCCAGGAAGACCCCCTGTAGAGCTCCAGGAAGATACCCCTGTAGAGCTCCAGGAAGACCCCCCGTAGTGCTCCAGGAAGACCCCCGTAGTACTCCAGGAAGATCCCCGTAGAGCTCCAGGAAGACCCCCGTAGAGTTCCAGAAGACCCCCGTAGAGTGGCAGAATGGGCGGGGTGGTCGGAAAACATGGCTCCTTCCTGCTGGACCACTCAATGGACGATGTCTTCCTCCGTGAGTTGAAGGCTGACTCCCTGAAGCACAGCCCTGTCTCTACCATCACTGGCGGGTGAGTACCGGGTGCCCGGGCGAGTACCAGGTACCTGGGTGAGTACCGGGTGCCTGGGTGAGTGCTAAGTACCTGGGCGACTAATGGGTTACTAGGGTTTTGTCCCAACTTTCTCAGTCAAGGGAAGACAAGGGTTGAATCCTCACTATACCTTTCTGTGGAGATCAGTGTGCAGCCCAAAAGCTGTGATCCAACCTTAGTTCATTTACAAGGCCATGAGCTATTATCCAACTTGTAACCTAATTCCGTAACTCCCCTTCCAGGTCGTCTGCAGTCCCAGCTATGATCTAAATTATTTCATATCATTACCTCCCAACTTTATCACGTTCTCCTTTTATCTTCCTGCTTCGCTGTTTCTTTTGTGATGTTCCGAGCTGGTTGCAACTGGAGACTCAGATGAGTCAAAGAGATGTTAGGAAGTATTTCTTCAGTCATAGAGTAGTCAGGAAGTGGAATAGTCTAGCGAGTGAGGTAGTGGAGTAGGAACCATGCATAGCTTTAAGATGAGGTGTGATAGAGCTCATGGAGCAGGGAGAGAGAGGACCTAGTAGCGACCAGTGAAGAGCGGGGCCAGGAGCAGAGTCTCGACCCCTGCAACCACAATTAGGTGAGTGCAATTAGGTGAGTACACTTTGTTTTCTTAGGTACAAGGACACAAGTGCAACTAATGAGACATTTTATTGTGGCAACGTTTCGCTCTCCAGGAGCTTTATCAAGCTGTCACAACATTACAAAGACACAGGTTATTATTATAATGAAAATTAGGTGTCACGTGAGGGAAAGATAGACAGTAGTGGTGGTGGTGATCATAGTAGTAATAGTAGTAGTAGTAGTAACACTACTACTACCTTTCAAACATGGCCACAAGAAAATAACACATTTACCTAACATTTTGACGGTAATTCTCTCTTGGAGAGATGTCCTCAAGACCTTATTAATATCCAGGAGTAGGAGACAGAGGGTATGCTTTCCTGGGGCTGGGATGGAGGACATTGTTAGCCGGCTTGACAACATCATGAACGGTAATGGGATCAGTCCTATTATTTGCCTCAGTGCTGGAGGCAATGATGTAGGCAAGCGTAGAAGTGAGGATTTAGTTAGAAAGTTCAGGACAGCTATAGACATAATTAGGAAGGGGGGGGCGCCCTGTTATATGTGGCATTTTGCCAAGAAGATGTGTTGTTAATGAATGGTTGTCCAGAGCAATTGGTATTAATTGTTGGCTGGATAAACACTGTAAGGATAATGCAGTATCATTCATTGACAACTGGGACAACTTCTATGGCCGAAATGACATGTATGTCAGGGATGGGGTTCACTTATCCAGGGCAGGTGTGGGTTTTCTTGCTAACTCAGTTGAGGGGGTTGTTAGGACTTTAAACTAGGATTAGTTAGAGGTATGGGTTTAGAAATGATTAATAATGAGTATTCTATTCTATTCTATTTGATTCGCCGGTAATCCCGGCCCGGGATATATTGACTTATGCTCTGATATTAAGAATCTTAATAGTAACTGTCATGGAGTAACTCTGGGTAATGATAATTTCAGAAATTGTGTAAAAACAAAGATGAATAGGAAAAATGTGCAGAAGAAAAAACATATGATGGTATTTTATGCTAACAGTCGAAGTGCAAGAAATAAAATTAATGAACTACGTTTGGTAGCATGTGCTGGGAACTTTGATATCATTGCATTAACTGAAACGTGGTATGATTTAAAGAGTCGGGATATGACTGCTGAGTGTAATATTCAGGGATTTAAGTTGTTCAATGTGGATAGATCTAATGGGAAGGGGGGAGGAGTTGCATTATATGTTCGAGAAAATATTAATTGTTGCATAAAAACAGGTATAAAAATAGATGGAGCAGTAACAGAATCTGTTTGGGTAGAGTTCGTAGAGGGTCAAGAAAAAACTAATTCTAGGTGTAATATACCGACCTCCAGGCTTGGATCACGATAGAGGGAGACTTCTTTGGGACGAAATTGTTAGGGCTTCTAGACACAATAACATAGTCATAGTAGGGGACTTTAACTTTAGTCAAATTGACTGGAATTCTTTGACAGGTAATCTAGAGTCCAGTGACTTTATGGAAACAGTTCAGGACTGTTTTCTGAAGCAGAGCGTAACAGAGCCAACCAGGGGTAATAATTTGCTAGACCTAGTCTTGTCAAATAAGGAAACACTCGTGAATAATCTGGAGATTACTGAAGAGCTTGGCGCAAGTGATCACAAATCCATCACTTTTAGCATTAACTGGGAATGCAAGAATAATGATAATACAGTAAAAATCCCTGATTTTCGTTCTGCCGATTATAATGGATTTAGGGAACACCTGTCTAATCTTGATTGGGGTTATCTAGCTAATGAACCTCCCGTATGAAGATAGACTTAAAGCCTTAAATCTCCACTCTCTGGAGAGGCGTAGAATGAGAGGAGATATCATTGAAGTGTATAAGTGGATGACGGGCATAAACAAGGGAGATATTAATAAAGTACTGAGGGTGTCGAACCAGGTAAGAACCAGGAATAATGGATGTAAGTTGAATAAATTTAGATTTAGAAAGGACATAGGTAAGCACTGGTTTTCTAACAGAGTTGTAGATGCGTGGAACAGTCTTCCTAGTGGGGTGATAGAGGCTAGGACCTTGGGTAGCTTTAAGATGAGACTGGACAAATATATGAGTGGGAGGGGCTGGGTTTGATTGGTGTCATGGGGTACGGGAGTTATATCTTGGGTAGTTAGGTAAGACACATATGCAACAGTTAGGTATGAACATTAAAATGGTATAAAATACCGACAGATTGTTAGGTAAGACACATATGCAACAGTTAGGTATCTTTATTTCGAAACGTTTCGCCTACACAGTAGGCTTCTTCAGTCGAGTACAGAAAAGTTGATAGAAGCAGAAGATACTTGAAGACGATGTAATCAGTCCATCACCCTTAAAGTTTTGAGGTGGTCAGTCCCTCAGTCTGGAGAAGAGCATTGTTCCGTTGTCAGATAGTTCCTGACTATGGAACTGAACTTCTCCAGGCCGAGGGACTGACAACCTCAAATTCTACGACTTTAAGGGTGATGGACTGATTACATCGTCTTCACATCTCTACTGTTCCTGCCTACTTTCTGTATTCGACTGAAGAAGCCTACTGTGTAGGCGAAACGTTTCGGAATAAAGTTGTCTAACTGTTGCATATGTGTCTTACCTAACAACAGTTAGGTATCTTTATTTCGAAACGTTTCGCCTACACAGTAGGCTTCTTCAGTCGAGTACAGAAAAGTTGATAGAAGCAGAAGATACTTGAAGACGATGTAATCAGTCCATCACCCTTAAAGTTTTGAGGTGGTCAGTCCCTCAGTCTGGAGAAGAGCATTGTTCCATTGTATAAAAATACCTGTCGGTAATTTTATACCATTTTAATGTTCATATCTTGGGTAGCTTTAGGTAGAGATCGTTTTGATAAGGACCTGCCTCGTATGGGCCAGTAGGCCTTCTGCAGTGTTCCTACATTCTTATGTTCTTATGTTCTTAATACACTTCGTCTTAAATTTATAAAGCTGTACACAGCTCTGTATAAAGCCTTATGGAAGAGTATTATAGAGTTAAAACTCTATCAGTCTCTGACACAGAATGAAACACTGTAGTTTGCATTAATGGTGATGAAATCAGAATGGGGACCAGTTATCAGTGGCGTTTCCTGGGTTAGCTTTGGGCCCACAGTTGTTCATAGTTTACATTAATGACTCTGAAGAGGGAGTAACAAGAGATATATGAGGATTTGCTGCCGTCACAAAATGATAGATCTATTAGTGAATTCGGAGAAGGATGCCACTGAACGTCAGGAAGATTCGGATAAACAAATAGTGGGATTGAAAAATTATGACTACCATTAAGGACTTGACCAAGACCAGAATATGCAATGATGACAGTGACGTCGATGTTGACATTAGTCAGTGTTGAAGTTGCCAAAGCTAGGAACCATTCCCACACGATTTTTACCCCCTAACATTGACCCCCTAACACTGTAAACCCCTGTCAATGACCACCCCCACACCCGCACACCCTCATCATACCAACCCCACACCTTACACCCATAAAACGACCAGCCCCAAGGTCGAGGGATTTGGGAAAAAAATGGTTGTCCAGAGCAATTGGGTAAAATTTGCGGCTGGACAATACTGAAAGGAAAAAATGCGGCAAATTCATTACAACGGACCTCTTCTAGGCAGAAATGACTTTTTCCCGGGATGGGGTTTCATTTATCTGGGTCTGGGTGGGACACTTGCAACTCAGTGGAGGGAGCAGTTGGGGATTTTTAAACCGGAATGTTAGGGTATGGGTTTTTGGGGGGAGAACGTAAAGTCGATTTAGTAATATGAGTACTAGGGAACTAGTAACACAAAATGAGATGGATATTGGAAAGCCGTGCCAAATTTGACAAGGACAAAATAGGTTTAGTGGAATAACAGAAAGGAGAAAGGAAGGGAAAGAAGAGGGGTCTTTAAATAAATTACAAAATATGCAGTGTGGGAATAAGTTGGGGATTGAGCTAGTTGCTAGTGCAGGAAACATTGATTATTTGCCTTAATGATAGGGTATAATTCAAAAAGTCCGAAAACATCCAGCCCCGCACCACGGGACAGACACAGGCTTCTGCCGAAAGGAAAGGTCACGATGTTCCGGGGACACGAGGGGAGACTGGGATTTAAAAATGACGACTCGGATTTAAAAAATGGGGGGGGGCGCAATTAGCGAAGAGTTGCGAGCCCACCCCCTGTCATCAGGGGAAAAGTCTCCAGTTTTTCAAGCCAACCAACAGCCAGAAGTAGGGAAAGGGGATGGATAAAAGGAAACAGAAAACACGCCGTCCCCCCAAGGAGCAGGTAAACCAGCTCAAATACCTTCCAGTTAAAGGGGTAAAGGCTTTGGGAACAAAAAACCCCACTATGGGTGGGGAAAAAAGACACTTATTTTCTTTTGGAATTTTTTAAAAGGAAAC